ATCCTGTTCGAAAGTACTTTCGGTAGACTTTCGATTTCGGTAGGTACCGAAAGTACCCACTTTCGGAGCCATCCTTATGTGTGACCTAGTTTTATTTTAATTTTTAATGCACTTTATGCAACCTCAAAAGTAATGATATATTCATAAAGGTGAGTTACATCTATAAAACATCCGTATATACTACCGTATCGTAATTATAAACATGCTTAATAAGCAAATCCATTTACATTATCCTAAAAGGAAGGAATGATTAGAGATACACGCACCTATCATAAAGGATTTCTATCAAAAAAAAAAATAACATAAAATAAAAAATAAACCTGATTTCGTAAATCAGCAACATCCTTAAAAATTGACGAAGTGATACAATACATTATACACATTATATTGAACTTTAATTAGATATGTAGCCAACGAGATTGCGTATTTTACACACGATTGTGTCGATGACTTTTGTAACATGAGAACGTAATTATAAGCTTATATATTTTTTATATTTTGATTTAGTCATGCGAATTAACAAAATTTGATTTACATAACTTTCAATACATAGAAAAGTTGTATAGTTCGCGCCTGGTGAAACATAGATTAAAATCTAAGAAATAAAATTGAAATTTATGTATGTATAATTTTCTTAATTCGATAAATTATAACAAATTAACTTCATTTACATGTATCAAAAGACCAAATATTGATCAAATTTAATGTAGATAAGCAAGGCGAATGTAGCAATGAGGATCAAGCAATAAAAACGAGATTAAAATCAACACTTTTTAAATCATCTTTAAAAATGAATATATAAAAGAAGAATCACACTATTCATTGCAACCATTTGGTAGTATCATATGATATAAATAAAATCAATTATTCTGCAATTATGGCACTTTGCAAAAAGTGGTGGCCACATGATTTTTATAATGAACGGAGAAGATTTCTGAGGTTTTAGATTATCTATTACTTTATATTTTCGAGAAAATTGGATTTATATTTCTTTGACATCAGTAAAATTCTTAAAATCTATAGAATCCCCGATTCTCACGCGGCCCTGTGATCTGCAGAGGCCACATCTTTTTGCGAAGTACAATAAAATAATTTTTTTATATAACTACAATTAAAGTAGATTCTAGGATTTTTTTCTAGGTATAACAATTTATTTAGCAATTTAATTAAATTTAATTAACTTGGTATTAGTTACTATTATGATTTCGATGCAAATTTATAACAACATACTGAGTCGAAGTTTAAAATTCTTTATCAATTATTCACTATATTGAGAGTATGAAATAACGAGAATAAGTTTTACTTATTATTAATTATTATTTTTTTTCGACTCATTACACGGCGGACATATTGACTGATTTGATAAGGAAATCCAATCTCCCAATGACGCACCTAATTAAACATAAGAAATAATATATTATTGACGCACCCTAACCTGGGAGATTGAATTTCCTTACCTAAATTAGTTGATGTGATAAGCAGAACAATACTTTTACATATTTGATATTTTATTATAAATATATTGAATTAATAATTTTTAACATCAACTTATATAGAAATAAAAGTTGTTATCTCCGGAAAATTGATTTGCGACAATATATATATTGTATTGTGAAATATTTATCAACAATAAATGCAGTGCAACTTGCGTATATACGTAAAAGGAATAACTAAGAGCATCCACGCGACTTTTTTTGCTACTGTAACAATTTATTTTTATTTTTTTTCAGATGTTATTTATAAGAATAATGACTATATATGCTAATGTAAAGAAAAAGGAAGTTTTCATATTGTTTCACAACCTTTTAAAGAATAATGACATATATGGTTAGTATATGGTTAGTAAATTTACCCCCACAAGATACCTATTGTAGGTTTCTTGTCAAATCGGTAAATAGCGATAGGTGGTACAGTACACACGTACAAAGAGGTGAACAGACTATGTCATGTCATGTAATACTGCGACGAAATTGAAAATGATCTTAAGATTTAGAAAAATTATAATCCACGCAGGTTTCCGTTCGTTAAGACACCGTTCGTTAAGACAATTATTCTCTTAAATGCTTGCCTTTTTGTAATAATGTGATCGCAAACTATACTCTCAAACTTATTTATTTATATTGATCTTTTCCAGTAAATTCAGCATCACCGGAACGATATCCAGCCTTGTATCACATGATACCAAAATTATGAACCACAGAGCTGGATTATTACCTTTTTTGATATATTTCTTTTTTGTTCGTATGTCGCTTAAATATATTCGTGCCCGTGATAACACTGCGTGATGCTACTTTATAAAGTTTACCCCAGAATTGCAAATACCTTACTTTCAGTGTTTGTCGCCACATTAACAAATCTAAAGTTGTAAAGGTCTTGATTAGGCATTGATAGAATTTTAGTGACTAATAAGTAATAAACCTTTATTTTTAATGAGACAGCTGGTATATCTTAACTGGCCTTTTTTAGGCATTTCCATTGAAAAAAAATTAAGGGGCCGATCTTCTTATACCATGCTACATTTCTTATCAAAGAACTACAATTTAACATGTATAAAAAATCATCTGATTTATTGTTTATGGCGAATGATTGCAGTAATAATTTTTTTTTTTCATTTCTAAATTTGCAGCAATAGGCGTTGTCAGATCGACCCTGTGTATATCAGTATGTCGATGAGTGCGTTAAAATTTGTGACACAAACTTAAATCGGAAATTTAAATGATATATCAATATATTGTGTAATAATCGATATTAATATATGGAGGACAACGATTAATCGCTCTTATTTTAGAAATTATTTGTTATAATCCCTTTTTAAGCGTTGAATAACGAATAAAAAATAAAATAAAATAAAAAATAAACTTTAGATACTAAGAACTTTGAATCAAAAATATTTAACTACCTTGACCATGGCGTTTTTTTCTCTTATAAACTTAGCTGAAAAAAAAATAAAGCATAAAACTAAAATAAAAAAAAAATTACAATTTTATGAGCACACCACTTCCAACTTATTTAATCAATTTTTACGATCAACAATTTGCAGAAGAGTGTAGCAATCAAAGCACACTCAATATTTTTTCTTTTAACAAAATGACATATAATGATGATCTTAAGAAGGATTTTCGAGAGAAAAGTATTATTGGTAACTCTAGTAAAATTTATACGAATGAACCTGACTATATAAAAGAAGTCGAACGACCTTTAAAGAATATTCAATTAATACTACCACGTAAGGAGCATTACAGTAGACCTAAGGAACATTGCAGTAGAGGTCTAAGCATCTAATGTCCACATGCATCACAGAAACATCACGGACCATAGTATATTAAATGGCTTCCAACCCTTGAATAGAATTGAACGAAACTTCAATTAAAAAATTGACCTATAAACCGTTAGAAATACCAGAGGTACATAACCTCTGGATGTAAATATTTACATTCCAAATCTACTTTTAAAAAAACAAAAGCTATCATTTAATGACAAATAGCTGTTTATTTTATTTTATATATATATATTTTTTTTATTCTGTTTAATTTTATTTTCACGACAACTCTAATTGTAACAACCTGTTACGAATTTATTTGTAACGTACAACCAATAAATTAACCAAAATTCTTGTAACTTAAATTCCAACTCTAACTATTATTGGCTAATACGAGGTTATTACATGTAAAAGGTTGTTACGAGAATATTTTTACTTTTTTTCTGAGAAAAAATGTATATAATGAATTTATTTTATTTCATTTTTCCATTTTTAAATAAACGCTACCTTAATTTCAATTTTATTCTTGGTATCATAAGTTGTTAAAATATTGTTCACCAAAGAGAGCCGTAGTTCAAACTTAATGATGTTATCCAAAATATCTAAGACGTCCAAATCTATGCGATAACGAGTGTCTAGTGATATAGGTCGACTCCAAATTCATAGGCCAACCATACTGTTAAAAATTGTCTTATAATTCGATATCTTTAGTGCGAAATTGCGTCACAATAATTGTACACAATTTCTATCATCAGAAATTGCATCCATGTGAATACTTGATAACCACCCTTGCGTCACTGGGTCCTTATTATTTCACCAACAATCACTTCACCGACAGTTCATTTAGCCAAAATCATTCCAGGTGAAATTTAGTAAAAATAATAACTGTAACTTATCAAATGCTTAACCCTAACCCTATGTGATGTCGGCTAAATGCGCATTCGTGAAGTGACTGTCGGTGAATTGATCGGAACCAGCGTCACCACCGTCACTATTGTTTTGGGAGAGCGTATAGAACTATCGGCAGAGTTTAGCTCCAATAGTTAACTTATATATTCTTTGTATAGAACTCAAAGTAATATAATAATAAATAAATTCGATTATAGTAATGACTCAAGCACGTGGGGTTACGTAATTAATCCGTGATCGGGCACTTAATTATATCTACCGGTAATCAATCAAGTAAATAAATCAAGTTATGTAATCGTAATTAAATAAATCAGTAATGGGTAACACTAACCTGGCGCTAAGCTCTAGTCCAATGACCGCTAATCTCTAGTCCATGATCTAAATACATTACAACGGAATGTAATGGAATTAAAGATATGGAACCAATGGTGGAGCTTAATATCGATAGTTAATCAGCACAACCGACATTAAGGGTCGATACTTATAAGGTAATAAAGTAATAGCGATAGGGTAATAACAAAATGTATAATACGATCGTTATGTCACTTAACGGTAAAAATAAGAAATACGTCACTAATCTAACAACAGTTGAGAAATCAATTCTTAATAACTCCTATATTAAAGACATTGAAGAGCGAAAAGGCAGCTCTTTTATACTTTTGAAATACATTGAAGGCTTGCTACAAAATACGCTTCTGAAGTCTAGCTCTATACTTTATTGTTCTAACGTTATTACTCAATCTAACCTTAGTCCGACGAGACCTATACCTTCTAAGCCGATTTTACGATGATACTTCTAAGCTTTTCCAGACCTAATCCCTGTGCCTCATGATAACAAACATATAAAAAGAATCTATAGATATAAAAATAAACAAAGATGACGAAAAATAATTATTTGTACAGATCTGAACTTCTAAGCCTTCGCCACAACCCAGCCTTACAGTATACACATTCTCGTTACTACAAGTCACGATTTTCTAATAGAAAATTCGTGACACCACTCTAAAAAATTTCGCACCCAATCAGATTTCAAAATCAGGTGAATGTAAAAGAAGCGCGAAAACAAATAAACCGTCCATAGCTCAATATTTTACCTATGAAACTGCCTTCTGCGCATTAACAAAACGTTTTTTCCTTGCGAAATTGAAATTTAAAAGACCTATAATCTAATTTAACAGCGAAATTTTTTTGCAAAATTTTAAATAATTTCGTCACCTATAATTTCGTCAATATCGTCATTGCGAAAATAATTTCGTCACCCATCTATAGATAACATCAATATGGGAAAATTGTCGAATACAATAATTTGGCTCAACCGGACAAAGGATTGGAAAATATGCCGCGAAACGATACGTGTATTATACACAAATTACCTATCTATTTTTTGAATTTTTGTTTGAAAAAGTATAGACATTAAATTACATTTATAATTCTGATTACAAATTGACTAATCGATGTAAATCCTTCAAATGAATGCATGAAAATGAAAACCTGGAACTTTATTTAATGATTCACTATAAATGGTTACAGATTTTCTCTTACGCACTCAAATAAGGATCTCGTCTGAGTAGAGAAGGTTCTTTTTTTGATAGATCTGTGGTTATACAACGTCATCGACCGAATCGATAAGTTACTAGTATTCCGCAAGTAGAACCAGACCCGGAACCGACCCGGTTCGGGTCCGTGTCGGATTCCGGTTTCATTCCGGTCTCCTGTTGAAATAAAATACGCGTTGATTGGCTGCTCCTGGTCTTGCTGCGTCTGAAATTCGGCCCGTATCTAAATATATGCGAAGTCAGCATATGGGGAAGTCAATAGAAATCAACAAATTTTTTATAATAAGTTTTTTAAAACTTTGAATACAAATAACTTAACAAAAACTTAATCAAATTTGATAAAGAATTTTTAAATTAATTTTAATAAACTTATAAAATTAAATCAAAAAAAATTATCAAATTTGATCTAGTTTTTGTTAGATCATTTAATTTAAGTTTTAAAAAATTTTTATTATAAAAAATTTGCTTGATTTCTATTGACTCCATAGGTACTTCTCGAGCCTCGGGACTAGATCTTTAAAAAACGCGCCCGGAACCTGTCCATGCGAAAATCTAAAACTTATTATAGCTGTACTCATAAATTCTAGGACAACTGATAAATTGATCGACCGAATTCGATAAATTTTTGAATTCAGTAATGCCGAAAATCTAATTCCGATAACACTGAATTCAAATTTGACCGATCAAATTTTTATCAGTTGTCTCAGAATTTATGAGAACAGCTGTAAAATCAACCGACTGATCATCGGTTAAATTTTTCAGTTACCCTAGAATTTATGAAAACTGCTGTACTCCACCGACAATTAATTCACCAACAAGCTAAGATTACCGACACTTAATTCACCTTTAATTACTTCACCGACAAGCTTAATTCACCGAAAAGCTTATAACTTCACTAATCTTAAACACAATTCTAGTCTGAACCTAACAATAATGATTATAATTACTTTGTTAATTCACTAACAAGCGTGATTGACCAAAAAGCTAACTTGCACTAATCTTAAACATAATTTTAGTCTAATCCTAACAATAATGATTAATTGCTTTTTTTGCTGAATTAATTCAATAAATTAAGTTTGTTGGTGAATCAATTTTCAGTGAATCATCTTTGTGAATAAATAAAAAATGTTGTGAAGGCAATTTTGTTCGCATAAATACCCTAACACCAAAGTTAATTAAGTAAATTATTGCACAATATGAATTGGCTCCGCTTTAGACGTTTCCTAAACAAGGAAATCAAAAACTGGTTTAGCAATATTGGTCCTGAGGTTTGTGGTGCAGATTTTCTGAACTACAAATTAGGCCTCATATAACGTAATACGATCATGATTATTCAAAACAAACAACTATTTTTTACAAACCCAACCTTACCAAACCATAATGTGGCTTAATTTTTTATTTGTAAAATTGTTTTGATTGGCATGTTATATGAACTTGTGATTTAATAATTATACTCATACATAATCACTACGTGTAAACTAATAAATTTTTTTAACTAAATATTACATTTCAGCGGATTGGCGGAATTGGACCTTTATTTAGATACTCAATTTGAACCCTAGATTTACTTATTGCGCTTTTGCAAAATTCTGTGACTCCCCCTTAATTACTAATATTTATAACATGATCGTGATTGCGATTGTGATTGCGAATTTTGCAAAGCGCAATAAGTAAATTTAGGGTTCAAATTTAGAGTATCTAAATAAAGGTCCATTCCGCCAATCCGCCGAAATGATTAAATCTAAAACTTTTATTACTATCTTTTTCAATATAGTAAATACTATATTTGGAGATCATTTAATACCAAGTAGTTTTAATAAAAAATTTGTAAAGTAAAAGTTACATGAGGTATATAATTACTATCTGATTTTAGATAATCTCTATTTGATAATTAAATTATTATATTTAAAATTTTTAATTTTTTAAAAAATAAATTTTAAAAATTTTTAATTTTAAATTTATAAAAAATTATATTTTTAGCCCAAATAAATACAGCATTTTAGCATCTTTGTATTTATTGTAACTATTCAAGTATTACTAATCCAAAAATAAAATTGCTATCTAATTAGATTTTAAAATCAAATATAATGTAAAAAATAAATTAAAAATTTAAAATAAATTAAAAATTGCTTATAACTTAATCTTTATATTTATAAAACTATCTTCTGTATTAACAATAAGTTTTTTGGTATTATTCAAGTTTTTTCTAATCTAAATTAATAGCAAACTTAATTTTAATTTAATAGTAAAAATTTTAAATTTATAATACTAAATTAGTTTTATTGCTCTTTTAACTTGATAGTTATACTGTAATTAATTTGAAGTATTCAAATATATTTAAATTATAAATAAAAAATATTATATAAGTTACTTATTATATAAACTGCTAAATAAATAAATATATGTATCAAGTAAATAGATGTATCTGAAAAAGCTAATCTTATTTTACTTTTATAATAATCTTTAAAATAGATATATAAAAAATAGATAAACTGCAAAAATAAATCTTAATAAGTAGACCATTTTACAAAAACTTTAAGAAATTGATTTATTTTTTATAAAATAGTATAATATAAATAGTATTTAACTAATATTTTAATTTTATAAAATAATATACTTAATAGTATAAAAAAGACAGCTATATACTATATATATAAAAATAATTGTTGCGGCTGAAGCTGGAAATGGCTGAAGCTGGAAA